ATTCCCTTCCCAGCCCAGCCATGCAAGGATGTTGCAGTCAGACAACTTTTCTCATCACCCAGCATGTTGGGAGGGAAAGTGAGACTGAAGATGTTCACTGCAGCCCTCTGAAAGGGGAGCAGGAGGAGTTGAACAGGAATGAATGTGGGCGAATGACTGGACTACTACCACTCCAGCAATTTCCCCCATTCATTCAAAACTGAGGTTTCTGTGTGTCCCATAATCTCTACAGTCCATCAGGAACAGCTCTGTTCTTCCTTGGAGGGAACTTGAATGCCCTAAGCTGTGAGAGGAGAGTGCTAAGCCTGTACACACCATGCTGCAGAACCTGGAGGGGCCCAGCCCACATGGAGCAAGCTGTGGTATTCACAGCCACACTGGCAGTAAAGCTCTCTGATCCTGCTCCAACAGTGGTGCCATGTTCTGGCCACAAACTCCACCACAAATCCCTCTCCCATGCTTTTTTGCTGTGTGCACATCCTCTTGCCAGAAGCCCTCAGGGAGACCCTTATCACCGCCAGGTCACCCCAGTGGTGACCTGCAGGCTGGACTTGACACCTGCCATTTCCCTGGAAGCACAGAGCCCAAAACCTCCTGTGCCCCACACCCTGCTTTCCCTGCTCAGGAAGGGCAGACGAAGGCAGCCAAGAGGGCTCCTGATCCCTCCTTACCACTGCACTCCACGCTGGAGCGAATGCGGACCCAGGCACCTCGGGAGTTTCTTCCAGTCCAGAGTTCTCTGTATACAGGTTTCCCACCAGAGAAGGACTGGACTTCACTTGAACATTTGAGATGGGTGAAGGGTGGCTGGAAACCTTCAGGGCAGCTCAGCATCACTTCTTCATTCTTCTTATAATTCTCCTGGTCTGGTGTCAGCTGGAGTCTGTAGTCCCACTGGGGCCTTCTGCACCCTCCTGTCAGAGGTGAAGGTAGGTGTTAGATGGGCTGGAGATGATGGGATGGGTATGGGTGAGTGGTAGGAGAGGGAAGATGACACATCCATCTGCTGGGATGTGACCTGAGGGCAAGCCTTGTTGGGAAGGGGCTTTCCTGATGCATGGAAATTGTGAAGGATCACTCATCCATGAACCTGCCCCATTCCCTCTTGTGTCCATGGGCACCATATTAGCTCCTCCAAAGCCCGGAGCAGGGACATTCCCAGCACAATCACCCCTGCACCAGGGGACTCCCTCCAGCCTCTCATCCAGGCTGTCACCCAGCCCAGCCCAGGGGGCCCTTGCTGGGCCATGGCACCACCGCTGCTGCTGGCATGCAGGGCCCTTCAGCCAGGGCTCATCCCTGCCACAGGGATCAGCCACGCCCCTGTTACCCTCGGGGGCTCCTGTTCTCACTCCCTCTGTGCCTTGGCTGCTCTCCTCCTGCCCCACACTGCTGGGCAGGGGGACAGGGCTGAGCAGTGCCTTCTGCATTCACATCTCCTGCTTTAACAATGCCCCTGCCCCTTTCTCTGACACAACCCTTCCTTCTTCTCATCGCCTGCTCACCAATTTCACCATGCCCCAGGCTCAGTGGGCAGTAGCTGAGCAGCTGGTGCCAGCAGTTTGTCCAGTGCTGCAGGGGGAGGCTTTGTGGCAATGATTGCTACAGAGAAGGATGCTGGCTTCTGGAAGGAGCTCTTGCCTGTTCAAGCCTCTGCAAGAAGGTTTGTGAGGCCTGAAGGGGTTTAAAATACAATCCGCCTTCTCCCAAAGGGGCACACGTGGGATCTCACAAGGCACAGACCAACTTTGGCACAAAGGGAAATGCTGTGCCAAGCCCCTTGTGCAGAGGCTTTGCTGTCAAACAGCGCTGATGGCAGAAGAGCAGAGATGCCCAGCTGAGCACCACAACCAGCAGCTTTGTCCCCTGGCACATGGCCATAACCCCCTCCATGCTCAGGCACCCAGCCACTGACCCTGCCCTGATCCATCTGTGTGGCAAAGCAGCAGCAAGCTCCCTCGTGCACTGCCCTCAGCAGGCACAATGTCCCTCAGGCACACCTGGGGATAGGATAGTACAGAAAGTGACAGCTCCCTGAAGACCCTTCCCCTGATTCACAGTGCATGAATTGATGACCAATTCATGCCCACTCTCTCCAGGGAATGATTGGCAAACTGCTTTTCTGGAGGGCATGACCCCTCACTGCACATCCAGCCCAGTCCTGTCTGTCCCACAGAACGCCAGTGTATACTGCATTGTAGCTCCTGTCCCTGGGGCAGACAGAGGCTGCCCCAGCTGACACAGCCCAGGGCTTCAGGCAGTGAAGATGAATATCCGACATAGAGGAGGAAAGGCAGCGGAAGCTTCCAAGAGCAAGAACCACTTCTTACCTGTTCCCTGGGGCACTATCTGGATGTTGAAAAATTCTTCCTGGCCATGTGCTGACAGTAGAGGTGCAAGGGCCAGGAGAAACCTCAGAGGCAGTGACAGCAGGGCCATCTTAGCGTGAAGTCCTCAGGCAGGACTGCAATCTCAGCCCCACTCACTGCCTCTGAGCGCAGGCATCCGTATCTGACTGCAGGGCTTGCAACCACAGGAAGGAAACAGACACATCTCCTCATGAGATGCAGGAGGCTTCCTCTTTGGGCAGGGACCCTCCCATCCATGTCTGCACTTCTGCCTTTTGATATCTTTTTGCCCCAGGAGCATCGAGGCTCTGGGACTCAGCAGAAGGAACTTTGTCACAAGATCCCAGAGTTTCCTCCCAAAACCCTCCTAGTTACCAGGGCATTCAAGTGTTACTCCTGTTACTGAGGTAATATCCAAATGCTTCCTGACACTGCGTGGGTTTTAGAGTGGTGATGAGTCACTTCCCCTCAATGATCACAGGAGATGGAGGACCTTTGAGAAACTACATAAAGACCTGGTCAGAAGCACATATAGGAATGAGGACACGAACTGCAAGGAGTACTTCAATGCCTGAAAGAGTCTGTGGCTCTTCTGAAAGAAACACTCAACCCACACCCTCTCTCATCCTTCCCCGCTTCTCTATCCTCAGCTGCCTCCTCCTCCTGCTCCCTCTCAGCCTGGCAGCACTGTCCTCTGTCCCCAAGTGTGCAGGGCACGCTGCCCTACAGCGCCAGCTCTGTGCTTGAGAAAACACTCACAGTACTAAACCATGCCTCTTGCTCATCAACAGCCACCGCTTTTCTCTTCCCCCAGAACCTCCCATCCACTTTGGGTGTCTCATATTTTAGAAGCCTGGGTGATCAGACATGAGGGGCTGCAGAGGCACAGAGACCATACTTATCCCTCCGTTTTCCTGTGGCACATGCACAGGACACACTCCTGTCCTGCTCATGGCTCCCCTCAACAAGGTGCAGTTAGCTCAGGGAACAGCACCTCACAAGGGCAATGTGGGACTAGGCAGGAGCTGGGGGCAGCAGGTAGTCCCTGGGGACAGCAGGTAGCCCTGTCCAAACCATAACCCTTTACTGACTGTCTGGACAGAGCAGGTGGAGTCACAAGGTTGACAGCCCAGGGTATGACTAGGGATGGGGGGATGGAGTGGGAAGCAGGGTAGCCAAGGAGGTTGCAACTGTTCCTCCCCGTCCTGAGCTTGCTCATTCCCCTTTCTCAGCCAGCAGCACCGACACAGCATTGAATTTCTCTTCTCCTCTCTGCCCAGTACCCACAAAGAGTTGCTCCACGAGGCCCACATGTCACACCAGCAACAGTTCACAGGAAGGAGATATTTTGGTCCCAGGGGCCAGCTGCAGGTACTGAGCTGATGGGCAGACAACTCAAATGAAGAACTGTCAAAACATGCCTTTACCAGAACATGCAAGTCATGCCAGGCTGAAAAGAAGCTGGAGAAGAGAGAGGTCAATTGCTCTATGTTTTGACAGTGTACTCCTCCACAAGGAGAGCCTTCAGACTGCCCCTCAGCCTCCAGGCTGCACTGGCTATTGGCAGGTTTGACAGGGGAGAGGGATAACACTGAAGCAAAAGACCATGACTGCTCTGTCTTCAGGACTGTAAAAAGCACAACCAGAACCAGCTTGTCACACCCAAGTCCAGGGAGCTCAGGAGAGCCTCTGTGCCCAAGGGCAGGAGAAAGAGATGGAATCATCACAGGCAACACTCAGAGCTGGAGAAAAGAGAGGTTGATTGCCGTGTTTGCCAGCAGTGCAGCCCTCACAAAGGAGAGCCTTTGGACTCAGCACCCAGGCTGCACTGGGCACTGGCACCCCACAGAAATTGCCTGTTGGAGGGGATGAGACAGCAGCAGCAGATCCCAAAGGCTGCAAGACACAGATGTCCCAAGAGGGCCAGAGCCAGCTGCACCTCACAAAATGGGAGATGAGCACCAGCACCCACAGAGGAGGACACAGACCTACACAGAGGTCCAGCTATGCAAGTGGAGATGGTGTCACCTATAGGATGGGGAGGAGGGAAAGCAGTCACCCAAAGCATTGCACTGGGAATGTGCAGCACCTCAAGTGTGCTTCCTTGGTGCTGCCAGGGGCTGGAAAAGCCATTCCAAGCTCCTCCATGAAGATTCATGGGGTCAAGGCTTTCACATACAAAACAAGGAGGACCCATGACAAGGTGGAAGATTTTGTGGGCCAGGCAGCCCCTGCAAACCAGAAAAATTTATTGGTTTTTTCAGGCACAGGAGTACAGTGGCCAGAGCAGCACAGCTAGGCCAAACTCAAGCAGAGGACAGGGTCTAGATGGATACAAGGACACAGGTTGGAAAGAGGAATTGTGAGCTCCTCCATTCTCAGGGAACATTTGCAGGCACCAAGACACTGGTGAGATGGCTATGCCAGAGCACTGTAGAACTACCAGGACACATCCTTGCTGTCATGAGGAGGTCAACCCATGCCTTAAGCTGCTCCTGTGGTGTGGCAGAGGATTCTGGAGCTTGATGAAGAAGAAAATTTTGGGGGGAAGCAATAACTCCTGAGATAATTCATTGTCATGCTTCGAGTGGTGGAGGACCAAGCCTTGTGAAGGGAAGTGCCTCAGATGTCCACTCCAGCTGCCCTTCTTCCTCACTGCTGACTCTCGCGAACAGGCAGGGGCGGGGGAAACGGCTCTCCAGCCTGGCCACACTTACCTGAGGAGAACAAGAGAACCCAGGGCAGAGGCTGCTGCATGCCCTCGGCAACATGAGGAGCTCAGACACCATCAGAGCTGGCAGTCCCCGCTCTCTCTGGGCCATGTGGGGTCAAGGCAGGACAACCCATTTCCTACCTGCATCTTTCTCAGGAAAAGTCTCGATCACGCAGTAATTATCCCCCTGTACATTCTCATAGGGCTGGAGCTCTGTGGGGGGACGAGAGGACAGAAACAGCCTGAGGGACGTGGGGGCTGTGAGAAAAGGAGCAGGGCAGCCTCAGGCAGGCAGCATCACCGAGGGCAGCAGATGCACACCGTCAGGACACCAGGGCTGGGAAGAGCTGCTGCCTACCCCAGAGAGAGTGAGGAGGAGGAGCAGTTCCCAGCCCTCTCTGGCACCTCAGGGACACCCCAGCCAGGAGCTGCTGGAAGAGGCTACTGAGCAGGGTCTCAGCTGGGAATAGATGTGGGACACTTTGGTCTGACAGGTCAGCCAAAGCCAGCTTGGCTGCCTGGAGCTACCTCAGAATGCCACTGGGCCTTCCTGAAATACACCTGCTCCCCTCGCAGCTCCAGCCCTACAGTCCGCTCTGTGCTGGGGCTCCTACCTGTGTACTGATCCTCCTCGACTTTGCTGGGCAAGGCCTTCTTTTTTCTGGGAAGGAAAAGGGCAGTCCTGAGTCAGGGAGAGACTGACCTGGGCCAGACCCTGCTGAACCCAGCAGCAGTGGCACAGAGGGTTCTGCACACCCTCCCTCTGCCCTGGCAAGCATTGCCACCCACACCCCAGGGGACAGCAGTGGTGGCTGCACCAGCAACAAGGGAACAGGGTCTCTCAGCACACACAGCCCCATCCCAGCCCTGAAGAAGACACTTAGAGCCCCACCTAGGAGCCCTAGAGCAAATCTGTGTTAGGACCAGCCGGCTGCCCCCTCTGCACCCAGAGAAGGGTGGGAACAGCTGGGGAACCTCTCTATGCCCACCCACCCCACAGCACAGCATGGCCTGAGACAGAACCGAGACTCCAAATCTCCTGCAACTCACCTGCACAGCACGAACCAGATGATCCCAGCAGACAAGGGGATCAACAGCAGCACCACCACGATTACAGTGACTGCTGACCCAGGCCAAGAGCCCATAGGCTGCCCTGAAACTGACACACAGAGAGTAGTGGGTGCCACAGCCCGGGCCGTGCACCAGCAGTGGCCCCAGCCTTGCTGCTGGGTGTCTGCACATGTAGAACAGACCCTGCTGCCCTGGGTGCTGCAGGGATGGGCAGCAAGCCTTCCCCTGCCTGCACACCTGCTTGGGCAGGGCAGAGGGAGGTTCTGGAGCACCGAGCCTTGTCCCGTGGGCCCAGCTGGAGGGTCTGGCAGCCTGCTCTGCCATCCTTCACCCAGCAGGAGGACACAGACCCAGGCTCAACAGCCCTAGTGCTCTCTGACCTTGAGCCCACCTGTGCACCCAAATGCAGGGATGGGTGTCACCTTCTTCAGTGGAAGAGTAGAGGGGGCAGGTCTGGTATCAAAGGCACAAAGAGTGGCTGAAGTGGTGCAGCCCCTCTGCAGACCTGCCAGTGAAGGCCCTCAAGGAAGGGCTCCCTCAATTTCATGCCCACTGCTGAGCCAGGTGCCCACACTCCCCGCGCCTGTCTGAGCTGGGAAGGGTGGGTGCACACAGAGCTCTGGAAGCTGCTCCAGACTCAGCACTCACCCCCTGAGAGGCCACCACAACCAGACACAGGGCAGAAGAACCATTACCCAGGACGTAGGTTTGGAATTCCAGTTGTGCTGCAGGCCCAGCCCCAGCAGCCGTCAGGCCCTGCACTGTCACCAGGTATTTGTTGCCAGCTGTCTGATGAGGTGGCACATACTCAGAGACAGACTGGTTCACCAACACCGGGTCGAATTTAATGATGCTGCCGTCCTCTGCTCTCATGGTGGTGATGTTCAGCTGGAGGAAAAACAGGGAGCTGCTAGACAGTAGCACCAACATCCTGCTTCTGTACTGGGCAGCTCTGTGGAGAGGGGCTGCTACTGCTGGCTGGGCACAAGAGGGGAGCTGGCCCTACCAGGAGCACCAGCAGGGTACAGCCTGTGGGCCCTGGTCAAGGAGGGTTCCCAGCTCTCCTGAGGCTGCCTGCACAGAGCTCCAGGCACGGTGAGGGGGACCAGGGGCACTCCATGGACTCCTGGTACCTGGTATCGAATGATCTCCCCTTTGCAGGAGGGCAGCGGCTTCCACCTGATGGACCCTGTGCTGGTATCCACCCACAGCTTCTCTGGCTTGTCTGGCACTGGAAGCACAGGAGAAGAGAATCATGCCTGGATAGCAATTACTTGTCCCCCACAAAGGCTGCTTGTGCCTGTGCAGCCGAAATGGTGTGGTGAGGAGGGGGAAGGCCCTGCTGTAGGGCCCTGCACAGCCCTTTCCCCAGATCCCCACAGGCTGCAAGCAGCTCTGATCCCAGGACCATCACAGCAGGGAGCAGATGCTCTGGCTGAGCTTCAGGGTGAAGGGCATCCTGATGTTTCATGTAAACATACCCATTTCCTTCGTTGTGTGGAGGTCTGCATACAGGATTGTGCTGGGCAGACTGGAGATGGTGACACTGTAGACAGTGAAGGGCTGCAGAGGGGAGCAGATGAAAGTTCCCTCCTGGCCTTGCAGCATCTCCTCTACCTTCACCTCCTCAGTCTCACAGTCTGAGGAGGAATGCCACTCCGTCTGGCACCTGGCCCGAATATTCTGGCACATATGAGGGAACCTGCAGGTCCAGTTCAGTTTGATGCTGGTGCTGGAAATCTCCGGGATCTTAGGGACAACCTGGTGGACATCTGTGAAGGGAACATTCCAAGAGGATCACTCCCTCCCTCCCCCTCCAAGCCTTGACATCAAAGTCCCCCAATCCCACCAATCCCTCACTAACCTGTCCCCAGTACAGAGTAGGCAAGGGCATTCTGCCTTCTCCCAGACTACACAAGCCAGAGTTGCCAACAGCACAGACATAAACCTGGGATGCATCCAGAATTTTCTCTGGGTTTCTGTGCCATGCCCTGACCACCCCGAGCACAGGGCACTGATGCTGTGCCACACGTGCAGAATTGCTCTCCATGCCTGGGGAGCACAAACTGAGAGCACTGGGAGAGTGTCTGGCTTGTTCACTTACCCAGTGAGTTGACACAGGTCAAGTTCCCTTCCACAGGGCGCCAGGCGGCGTCTGTGCCACTCCTCATGCTCCAGCCACTACGAGGAATCATGGAACCTTCCCTTGGCTTCAATGTCACACATTTGATCTCCATGGGTGGAGGCCAGTACCCCATAGGACACCGTATCCTCACCACTTCATTTGGGTTGAAGATCTCCTGTTCTTGGTCAAAGATAAACCTGGAGTCCCACTGGGGCTTCTGGCATTTCTCTGGACCAACAAGATGGGAAGGTGTTAGCTGGGCAGTGTTGCTCTGCAGGGCATGAGTAGAGCATTCCCTTCCCTGACCCATCAGAACTAGAGGTGAGCTCCAGGACACTGCACAGAGCAGCCCTTCCACATCAATTCTTGGCAAGAGGATAAGGACAAGAAGGACTCCAAACTTTTCCCCCCAGGTCTCCTGGGAAGGGCTAGGAGGAGCTGGAGTCAGGGACTGAGGGGAAACCATGAGGGGTCTGTACTGTGCACAAAGCCTACCCAGAGACTCTGGTGCCCTGTTTGTCCCTCAGGCAGGATATCAACACCTTGACTCCTCCTGAGAAGGCATAAAGTCTGAGCCCCAAAGCTGGCTCTGCAGTGACTACATGCAGCAGGGACAGGGAGGGGGAAATGCCTTTACCCTTGTCCCCTGTGCCAAAAACACCTGTCAGACCTACAGCACTGTTGCCCTGACTTTCCAGCACATGCTCTTGCCAGAAGCCCTTAGGGAGACCTGTGTCTCCCACATACCACCCAGCCCCCTGTGAGCACAGCCTGAAGCCCTGCATGGTCCCTGACCTCCTGTGCCTTGGGCAGTGCTGCTTACTGCCAAAATGGCTGCTTTGGTATCAAGGTAGAGACCTCTGTACCAAAACTCCCTCCTGACAGGACCCTTGGGCACTAAAGCTGGCATCAGCCATCTCCCCACCAGGGCACCCCTGGAACCCCAGGGCAGGCACAGAACAGACTCAGGAGCTGCCTCAACACTGTCTTCAGCAGCACCTGCCATTTGCCCAGGCAACACAGAGCCAGAAGCTTCTTGTGCCCCCACAGGCTGCTTTCCCTGCTCAGGGAGAGCAGAGCAGGCCAGTCAGGAATGCTCCTGATGCCTCCTTACCCAGGCACTGTACCCTGAACCTGGGCTGAATATTGATCACATTGCCTCTGCTGTCCTTTCCAGTCCAAGCTTCTCTGTGTATAGGTTTTCCATTGATAACAGACAGAACTTTTCCTGTACATTTGGCATGGGTGAAGGGTGGCTGGAAACCCTTGGGACAGCTCAGAATCACTTCTTCATTCTTCCTGTAACTCTCCTGGTCTGGTGCCAGTCTGATGTCCCAGTGGGGCTTTTGGCATGTTTCTGGCAGAGGTGAAAGTGTGTGTTAGTTGGGCTGGGAGGTTTCAAGGAGGAGCAGGGTATGTGGTGGGGCCCCAGCAATCCCCAGCAGTCCCTCTAGCCAGCGAAAGGAGAGGGAAGGTGACACATCCATCTGCTATGATGGGACACCTTGGCAAGGCTAGTTGGGATGGGGCTTTCCCTGTGGGTGTGTGTCAGCTGGGCCTGGGCCTGTCCAGGCAGGTGGTGGACAAGGATGTACCAAAATTCAGTAGGGGAATAGCTCAGGTATCCAATGCCTGAGTTCCAAGTGGCCCCGACATGGCATCACCCTGGCCACAGTGATGATGGAAGCTCAGAGATGGATGAACGGGGCAGAAATTGACCAAGAGTTTGGTAGGAAGCACTTCCTGACACCCTCCTTACCAATGCACACTATATTCCCCTGAACTTCAATCCACACACCACTTCTGTTTCTCCCCAGCCACACGTCTTCCTTTGGAGATGCAGAATAATTCAATGGCTGAACCCCGCTTGCACATTTGACATGGGTGAAGGACGGCTGGAAACCATTGTTGCAGCTCAGAGTCACTTCTTCATTCTCTGTGTAACTGTCACGGGCTGGTGCCAGCTGGAGTCTGGGGTCCCACCAAGCAGGCCTTTGGCATGTTTCTGTCAGAGGTAAAATTGGGTGAGGAGTACGTTTGGGAGGTTATGAGACAGGTAAAATTGGGTGAGGAGTACGTTTGGGAGGTTATGAGAGAAGGCTTGGGACCGGTCTCTAATGTTCACCCTGACACATACAAGTGTCATGTGCCCAGGCACTCTCCAAGCACACAGGGCTCCTCATCACCCCATCCCCAGGACTCACAAGCCTCCCTTGGATTCTGGCCCTTCCATGGGGTATTTGAGCCTGCATTTTCTTGTAACCCTCATGCGCAGGTGAGCCATGCTGCAGTAACAGCCTCCCACACCAGAGACAACCCAAACCCTAGAGAAGCTTTCCAAGGGAAAAGCAGAACCCCTGCAGCTATTCCTACTTCATGCTGAGGAGATGCTGGCTGGGAAGGATTCCTCTCCCCAGGAGCACAGAGCCCAGCAGGTGCCTACAGCAAGGTGCTGAGACAAGAAGAGCCTTGTCAGTGCCAGGACATGGGGAAAGCCAAAGGTATCCAGGTCTGCCATTCCTGCACTGTCATCTGCACAACCAGGTCACAGAGGGTCTGCCACCAGCTCAGGGCCCGGGGTCAGGGTGGTGCAGGGCTGTGCTTACCCTTGCAGGTGGGAGTCTCATTCCACTGGGTCTGGGCCCCTCTGGAAATGCATTCAATCTGTGGGACAGATGGTGCAAATCTCCCAGCACAGCTGAGCTGCACCACTTCATCCAAGGCATAGTCGCTCCTCCTCGGAGTAAACCGCAGTTTGGGGTCCCACTCGGAGGGAATTTTACATTTTCCTGCATGCAAAGGCCAGGAGGCAGAGCCTGAGGGTCACTGGGCTCCAGCAGCATCCATGAGGATGAGGGAGTTCCATCTGGAGGGGTGCCAATCCCTCTGTCTTCAGAGAGGTGGCAGAGATGGCACCTCCCAGGATGAGCCCCATCCCCCAGGTGCTTTATCCCTCCCCACACCCTCAGGGCAGTGCAGGAGGGTTATCCACAGGGTTATCCTGCCCACCTGCTGCTGAGGAGACACCCCAGCCAGAGGGGTCCAGCAGCCTGGGAGATGCTGTTCCCACAAATAGTGGGGCTATGGGAGTGCACCAGGCCCAGGGAGTCTCTGCTGCTATTCCAGACTCCACAGCTTGGTCCCAGGAAGTGACTGCCAGCAGCAATGGTGAGTAACAGGAGTAAAGTTTGCAGATAACAAGAGAAAGAACCAAGCAATTCTGCAGTGGGAGCAGTAACTACAGGAATGAGGCAGGCAGAAAATGAATCGTCTAAGTTCTTGAAAGAGCAAAAACAAAAAAATAACACCCTTCTCATCCAGGATGTTTACCCATGAGCTAGAAAACACCCAGTTTTGATGAGTTTTGTTACATTATTCATCACCTAGTGATGAATCCTTGCTCTTAATTGTAGTAAAAATCCCACGTTCTCAGTTCGATTGCCTCCTTCTCTCAAAAAGACCACCACTCTCCTAGCATGTACCATGGTTTCTTGGAACGCTGTGCTTTTACAGTGAAGAGGGGAAAGGATGAGTCATAGTAACGCAGGCAAGCAGTGACTTCAGTAAGATTGTGTCTCTGTCAGTATACCTGCTTTTTTCTGCCTTGGTGTGCTGGCTGTGTGGATTTGCCACCTAGCACAAAGATTTGCCACCTAGCAAATCTTTTCTGTGCAGAACTGTAAATAAATCAAATCCCTTGACTCTGTGTGCTAATCAGCTTTTTCTGCACTGGGTGAAAGTGCAGAAAGAAGCTTTCAACTAGAGTCTGCCCCTCAGACCACTGAAGTTCACACCAGTGACCTCAAATCTCACACCCTGCTCAAGGAGCTCAGCCTAGCCTCCGCACTTCACCCAAAATGAGTCTGCCTTGTCCTCCCCTGGCAGACATGTCGCCTAGACTTGCTCACCCCGTGCAAAACAAGTCCATGAGGAGGCAGTGGGCATGGAGCTGGCCTTCCCTCAAGAAGGGTAAACACCTCTCCTCAGCTACAGCTGCCCACTTCCCACCAGCACTCACCACTTCCCTTTTCTGGCAGCGGGTTTCCACGCCATCATGGCAACCCTCTTCCCAGCTCTCCACCCCAAAGGACAGTGGTCACCAGCCCCCCCTTTAGACCACATAGTGCATACAGGAAACTTCTTCCCTCTCGACAGTGTCTCTCCCTCAGAGGACACACCTCACTGACAGAAAACTACCTGACAGACATGAAACGCTTGACTTGGTTCCAGCCTCATCAGGCATCCCCCTCACACACCTTCCCCCCTCCTGCCATTAAACACCCTGAAGTGACACAGACCCTGCCCGAGGGTGACATCCAGGATCCTTTTGGGTCAGTCCCAGACATGAGTACAGAGTAGGAGAGAAGAGGTTCCATCCTGCCCTGGAAAGCTGAGAGCTGCCCACTGCTGGAAGGGCAGCATCCCTTGAGCCACCAGTGATAGGCAGCATGACTCACAACCCATCTGATGATTCGGCTAGCCACTTCTGCTCCCATTTCCCTACAGAGAGAATATTCACAGCTCAGGTCCCCCAGCCATGCTGTGCCCCATGGGGACCTCAACAGGTACCAGCAAGCCCAGGGCACAGCATACAATCACCACAGGAAAGCCCACATTCTTTGGAAAGCCCACATTTGTAGGAAGAATCTAGCAGAGATCCAGGAACTGCTCCTAACCCTGCTGGCATGTAGAAAGAGCGTAACAAGCCTCTTGATATGAACAATCCCATCAAACTACAGCTCCCTGCATCCCAGGGACTATGGGAGAGAGCAGACATCCCAGCTAACAGAGCTCACAGGTCACACCTTTGATGAACACCATCATTGCCTGTGACAGGGGTGCTGCTTGAGCTGCCCAGAAAGGCCATCACTGCTCTGATTGCTCTGGGTTCATCTGTCTGCCATAACAAGACCCGGCCACCTCCTGCTCCGAGCAACACTACCCACTTCCTAGAGGGACACTGCAAGTCCCATGCTCACGGACAATTCCCAGCACACCGAGGCTTGCTGCCCTCCATCCCAAATAGAGCTTTGTCCCCCCACAACATGAGGGATGCCTGAGTGTCTCAGGCATATGCAGACACCAGCTCCAGCCCTCCCACAGCCTCAGCTATGAGCTGAACAGGGTAAGGCCGTGTAGCCAATACACAGGTGGAGGAGCAGCAAAACCATTTCTGTAAGAGAGAGGCACAATCCGCTCTTACCTGCTTCCTGACGTACCCACGGAGTCACAGGGCCGCGCTGCGTCTGTCCCCGTGCCAGCAGCAGAGGAGCAAGGGCTAGGAAGAATGTCAGGGCCAGCTGTGGCAGGGCCATGCTGGCATGAGGTGCCCGGGCAGGACTCGGCGAGGGCCGCTCAGGAAAGGTGTCTGCGCAGCCCTTCGCAGGAGGGGCGCTCACACAGAAGTGAGACAGCCCCACAGGGGAATCACGTGTGGTGCAGGAGGCTTCCTCTTTGGAAGGAGAGCATCCCACCAGCCTCAGTGTTGAGTCTCACACATCCTCCCACAGACAGTGGGTACAGGCTCCCAGGTGTCTTAGTCCAGCCTCTCTCCTGGCTACCTCAGGCTTCCATAGCCCTGCTCCAAAACAAGCACCTCCAAAACCTTCTCAGGTCTGTCTCTCTCCTCTCTCCTTCCAGATCCATTGGAGGATGTTGAGGAACACACCCCTGATTCATGTGCCCAATGCCACCCTAGGCCACATCATCACTTTCTCTTTCAAATCCTGGAATGATTTATGTTAGAAAACACTTCTGTGATGATCAAGTCTAACCACTAAGCCAGCACAATAAGCCACCACTAAAACATGTTCCTAAGACCATATCTACCTATCTTTTAAATACTTCCAAAAATCTCTCTTCCTATTACCTTGAACTGATCCAGCTGCAACATTCTTGCTGTTGAATGCCATCAGTAGAGTTTCCAGATCAGACAAGCTCCCGAACCTGGAAGTGTTCTCTTTTCCTTTCTTCTCTAAACCTTTCCTGCTCTGAGCTACTCTTTGTCAGTGCCTTTTAGGATGGGAAGAACTCGACAAGGACAGCGTGGACAATGTGGGGATAAAAGGGTCTCCTTGGACATGCATGGAGGTGTCTTGTTCCTCATTTGGGACACACCACACGCCCGCAAGTCTCCTGTTCCTACAGATGCCACCACCAAGCTCTCCTCTGAGCCCCTTTTCACCTCACAAACACTTGCACAACTTCAAGCTTCCATGAGTCCTGACTCCCTGTGCTGTTGCAGCTCTCCTGGGCCATTCCTCTTTCCACTCTGTGCTTTACAGAGTCTGTGTGTGTGTGTTTTCCTAGACAGACAAGCACAATTGCCCTACAGTGCAACCCACAGTGTTCCAGGAATGGGTGCTCTCACCCAGGGTGTTTTTCACCACTCAGCTGGAAGTCATTGGCCCTGAGTTCCCTGGCAGATCCTTTCCCAGGAGCCACCATCCTCAGGACAATGCTTGGTATATCTATCTGTAATATCCCAGTAATCCAGCAACACTGAGGGCTTTCTGTAAACTAAATGTCTGCTAAGGTCCATTTGGGAACATCATTGCATCAAGGCCAGCTGTGTCACATGCCACTGTTGTGAGGTTAATGGGTAAAGTCTTCCAGAAAGCTTTCAGCAGAACTGAGTTGCATCCTTCTTGTTTCCTTGGTAGATCCCTGTCCTTTGGGAACCAGGTTTTTCTTGTTCCTGTGCAGGAGAATGGCCACAGCCAGCACTCACTGGGTCTTGTCCTGATAAAGTCCCAGAGTTAGACACTGACACTCTCACTGACTCTCTTTGGTATGTGAAAGAAGCAAAACCAATGGAATTAAACAACCAAGCTTCAGAAATTCACAAGTGGTACAACAGACCTCCTAATACCCCTGATAAGATTATTTCTTTTCCCCTGGCTGAGGCCTGGAAATCTGTTTGGCCTGTCCCTCCTTAGAAATTCATCATTGTTTTGAGATTTGTTCTTTTCTTCGTGTATAGCATCCATTAGAAAAATGCTGAAGAAATTCTGATAGCCAGCACACTCAGCCATATGCATTGAATTCAATATCATTGCAAATGTGATTGATGGGCTGTTTCATGAAGGCCCATTTGGTTGTCAAAGAACTAGCAGACTCAAACTTTCAGTCTGAAGAGAGAAAAACCCAAATCACCTGAAATTTACAATCAGATTTAATTCAGCTAGAGAAGAGCATTGGAGGCTCAAAACCATCCACAAAACCACAAAGAAAAGGAGAAGTAGCTGTGGCTTTTGAGAATCAGGCTTCGTGGAAAGCACTGCCAACACAGCCACCATGTTCCCCCATAGTAAAGTCTATTACTGTGTCAGAACTCACAAACAGCAGCAGTATGTTAGGGTCTTACTGTCCTCCCGAGCTCACACCTGTCCCAAGGGAGCCCACTGTGGGTTGTACCTACAGATGGTGGTGTCAGATGATGGTCAGGTGATGGGGTGGGCTACAGCCAGGCTGGGATGTCAACCCAAAGCTGCTGGGTCAGGCTCAGGCCTGAGGAGGGTAGCCCAGACAGATCCATCCCTGGGAAAGCCAGGAAGGGCTCTTTTCCCTGCACATGACCCTGTGTGACCTGGTTTGGGTCCCCACATGGTGCTGGTCCCTCTCCAGGACACAGAGTCTGCCTCAGTCAGGGCTGCAGCCTGTGCTGCCGGAATCTAGAGCATGTTCTGGCAGGGAGAACTGGAAATGCCTCAGGGCCTATCCCTGCTCTGCCCACCACCCAGGAGGGCATTCCTGGGTGGTGGGCAGAGCAGGGATAGGCCCTGAGGGCTGGATAATCCCTTTGCTATGACTGCTACATCGCCTCTTCCCAGGGGAGGGAGCAGGACCTGCTGAGTTCTTTCCACAGGGATCATCTCCCCACTTTTCTGAGTCCACTTGTACATGCCTTCCCCCCAGAAGCACACATTCAAGCTAGGCAAGACTCTGCTCTGGCACTGCCACCATGATCAAAATCCCTCTAGAAATCTAAAAGCCCACTGCCCAGGCCATCCAGGCCCTCCTGACCTGGTCCTGCAGCCCACACCAACCCTAAATACACCCCAAATCCTCTTCATGCTCACACTGCCAACATCTCCCATTTGGCTGTGCATTTGCTGACTGCCCAGAAAGGTATTTTTAGCACATAGAATTGGACATAAGCAGTTCACAGCTGGGAGCAGAGTGGAGAAAGGCTGGGGGGGAATGGGGGGGTGGGATGCTGCATTTTGTTTTGAGGAAGATGTGCTCAGGAATGAGGTTTCCAGCTCTGGCATCCATGCAGTTCCACCTCTGGCCCAGCCACTCCTGTTCCCATCCCCAGAACCATCTCCAGCACATCCCACCCTGGTTTTTGACAGGGAACGTAGCTAAGCCCAGGAGGTGGGAATTTTAAGATTTGGGGCAGTATCTCAGGTCAGACTAGCTTCCCCCCAAACCCTGCTGCCTAAAGACTGTCTGCACCAAGATCAGAGCTCCTGATCTGCTCTTTCTGCCCTCGTGCTTTATCCCCCTTTATTCCCATCAACCGCTCTCCATCATGGGTGGCATCTCCAGCTGCCCGAGCAGCTCTCTGTCTCCTTGACAAACCTTTCACTCTGCACCTCCTTCACTACTCAAGCCTCTCTGCATTGCTCCCTTTCAAATGTTACACCCCACTCCATGTGCTGACCCCAGCCATCACAGTTCTCTTTCCTAGAGAACTGATGGAGTATTTGGTGGAGCCTAGAGTCTCTCCTTCTATCCCATTAAACAAAAGGCTTGGGCTTCCCCATTTTACAGTTCTCAGCCTGTACAGCTTCGAAGGAAAAGCAAATCCTGAGGAACCATATATGCCAATCAGGTACCTTAGAGAAGTGACTGCAAAAGGAACCATACAAAAAGGGAAGAAAAAGTCAAACTGTGGTTTCTCCAGTGAAATGAAGCCACTGGTGTGGTGGAGAGGATAAGGTGGCCCACCTGGTGGTGTTATCTGGTATTTTGTGGTCTTCACAGTCCCATCATCCTGCCAGGTGCTGCACCCATGGTGCACTGGAGGAGGCATCACTGCTGCCAGTGGGACCCGGAGCTTGCACAGCTCCTGCCTGACCTGTTCTGGGATGCCTGTCCATGTCCTGGCTTTGCAGGTGCCAGCTGTAGAATGCTACACCTCCCCAAAGCAGCTTCCTTTACACATGGGATACTGGAAAGCCAAGGTCTTGTCTGGGCCCTGCTCCCTCCTTTCCTCTTCTGGCCCTGCAGAAGCCCTGGGAGCCTGCTGTCCTCCCAGCACCCAGCCCCTGACCAAAGCTTGGGCGGAATGATCCTCCACAGCAGCTGGGCAGGTGGGGAGAAGAGGGGAGGAGAGGGCACTGTGTCCTGGTAAGTCAGTGTGAGTGGTGTGGGTGGCACAGTGCCCAGAGCTTAGAGAGCAGCTGCCCTTTGTTGTATAAATATGTGCATAAAGCCACGTGTGCTCCAGCCCAAGATCAGCCCAAGGTCAAGATACTGAGCAGATCTACAGCAGCATCACAGCAGACATGGGGGAAAAGGGAAGGCTCTGTCTCATGTCACCATCTCCTGCGGGGAGCCCTATGGCCCTTCAGCCAGCAGAAACATGCGTAATGCCTTTTATGATCCCTTTTTGTGAGAATCCAGGCTACAGGGCAGCCACAGAGATGCTCCTGAATGACCCATAAGGAAGGGCCTGCCATGCCTCATGGTGTGGCTTACATGCCAGGCACTGGCTGGTGGTGACACACTTGGCTCACCCACAGCCTGCAGCACCGGGTGTCTCTTGTAATTACCCCCAGAGACCAGTCAGTCCAGGGCTGGTGCAATCAGCCACTAGAGAACAAGGGCTCTGCAGGGTGGGGTCAGACACAGGTGGACAAAAATGAGGTCAGGGCAATCAGAGGCATTAATGGAACCAGGCTCCAGCATGCAGGACACAGCAGATCAAAGCCCTGCACCATTTGTCTCAGCTCTGCCTTGTGCTGGAGCCAGCACATATCCCACTTGCTGCTATTTGTCCTCTGCTTATCGTGCTACTGACCTGGGACCATCAGCCTCACATTTGACACTAAGAGAGCCAAGCAGGACCCACCCTCTTTCCCCACTTTTGACTCACTGTGGAGTACAAGGCTGCTGTCTGTGGGTAGCCCTGTGCCCTTGCTGTCATGCTGTTGAGATGTCCCCACTCACAAAAACACACATCCCCTTCCCTTGCCTTTGTCTTCATGGAAAATCCCAGTACACTTGTTCATGCCAGATCCATCTATATATGCTGGGATGCAGGTTTTTCATCCCAGGCCCCATGGAGTGTGAAGATGCCCTTCCT